TTTCCGATCTCTTTGCAGTTACATTTATACGTTGAGATGTTTTTTCGCTTTTTGTGTTACTTTGCCGAAATATGGATTATTATTTATCTATATGATTTTTTAGATACAAACTTCGGGTATATACTCGTTTAGGTTCTGCAAATATGCTATGATTTTTCTCCACATTCGGCCCTGCATGGTCTGCTGGTTTGTGCGTTCGATTTGCTATTTGTGGATTGCGAGCTTGAACCCCGTCACCAAACATACTCGCCCTTTCAGCCGTGAGGGCGTTATTATGTGACGATCAATCCAACTTTTCGTTGGTAAAAGAGTAGTCGAAGAGTTAGCGGTGGGTGGTATTGACTAGCTGTTTTCCCTCCTGTCTACCACTTATTAATTTGGCACGTCTAGCGCAGATAGCCCTCGGGCATCTTTGCGCGAAATTCCATAAAAAAAATCACTCGCCGCATTTCATTCTGATAAATTTTCAATCAGAAAACTGGTATGCGTATTCGGCAGAATCTTTGTTCTGTGTTGTTGCTGAACAGCATTTATTGAAGTTTTCTGAGTTCAGTGGTAACGAATTTACTTGTCATAACCTTAAGTCAATGACCGGGAATTTAATTGATGTGTTGTATTTGCCTAACAGCTAAGCATTTATATATCGGTACTCTTTTATCGTGTTATTAGCCCATGCTGAGATCAGCTTCTCTTTAAGTGACCGGAACTGCGAAAGAAGCCATATGTGTATGCGTACGCATACAGTTTCCGGGAAGCTAGCGATTTTAATGCAATTAAATCATCTTATAGGCATTAATCTTCACTTTTTTATGGTATACTTTGATACCAGGACATTTTTTTTTGTGATTTGAAATATTCAAAGGATATATATTTAAAACGTCCAAATTAAGAAAGCTCCCTACCAGAACCGAAGGGAGTGATGGTTACTGATATGATGATCTTTTTTTTTTGTACAGAATATCACATTTATTGTATAAAATTAAAGTCGAATCAGTAATTGACTTTGCTCACGTCTTTGCAATATCCCCCCCCCCCCCGTGGCTAAACGATCTGTTTTCGATACCCACAGGAGGCAGAACACAGATGCCATATTGCGTAGCTTTGCGCAAAACATTAACAAATAATAATATGTCTGGAAATCTTTATTCTATAACTCTTTTAAAATATGGACGCGCCCCAAAAAATTGTGGAGATTTAAACGATGTAACTAATTTATAGTTAGCCTTAATAGACGAACCAGTTGAAGAATTGTTTGATTAATTGCTGTTGCTTGAAACAAATTAGTCAATGGCATTTTAGACAATTTTTTCAAGTTTTCCTGGAAGTTTTTGTTTGAAAATTATGTGGAAGTAAATGAGACATAAGCTTGATTTTCTTATTCAGAAAAAAAATACGAATAATTTGTAATAGGTACGCTGAATCAGAGGATTAATTATTTGATCAATTACTATCGTTTAAAGTAAGATATATTTAATTCCATCTTCAAATAGTTTCAAACTTTTCACACCTGGTTTCAGGTAAACGACAGAGAACTGTTTATCACCCATAATATGTGACTGACGTTTGAACCATTAATATTCTACACAACTTCTATGTTCTCTCATGATTTCATGAAAGTATTTTAGCCTATATACATTCAACTACATAGATACACGTGCAAGAGAGAGGAGATTATTTTAGCCTATATACCTTCAACTACATAGATACACGTGCAAGAGAGGGGAGATTATTTTAGCCTATATACCTTCAACTACATAGATACACGTGCAAGAGAGGAGAGATTTTTTAGGAAAGGTATTTCAGGCTCTTCCGTTCCCGCATGTTTCACCCAACAGTGTAACTTTTCGTTTAATTAACTTATGCACAAAAAATAGACATGAAAAAATAACTCGTGCGCAAAAACAATTTCTCAAAAAGTGAGTTGAAGTAAGTAAGTCTGTTAACTATATCTTAGATTTGTATATGTTTTTAGGATAACTTACTGCATTTTTGTTTTCCCATGAGATTTTAATGCATATGGTAAAGTCGATAGTATAGTAATGATACTATGTGGGATGTTTAATCATTAAGAAACCTATTGTTTTAATCCTCTGAAACCGGCATCATATTTGTACCTTACACATATGTTTAGCACTTTGCTTCTTCCTGTACAGTCGCCGTTGTGAAATTGTGCAGTATTCCTTCCGTGCTTATCCATATTATCATGAGTATTAGGATTATCGAATTAATTATGTAACATTGTAACCTTCAAAAATCGAGTGTATACAAAGTACCTATGGGGATCCACATGGACCTCATTCGCTTTATACACTCAATATCCTAAACTATTCATGAATTAAACTTACTCATGAAACCATAACTTTATTTATCTGGTCCATAATAAGAGTCACAAAAAACAGTTAACAAAATACCATCAAAATTGTAGTTAATTCCCGTAATTACTGCTTGGGTTGTAACATGTAAAAATAATTACTCAATCTGATGGAGCCACCAGTAGTGAATGTTGTAAAAGCAAGTTGGTAATATGAGGGTTAGCATGGTTTGTCAAGCATTGAATAGGTATGAAATATTTTGTGCTTTATTTCTCTTCTAAAGGCAAAAATTTAGGAACACGATTATCATAACATAGGAGATGAGTCAATAAAAAGTGATTGTTAAATTTTTGCCACCAGGAGTCGTAATTGTAGCCATGATTCCTATATTTCAAGGCTCGTGTTTACCAATATTCTATTCAATCACAACACACACTGAAGGTCACAGTCCGACGAGAAGTTGCTTGTACTCCTCGGTACATGTTGCATTCGTTTTTTTCTACGTTATTTGTGCTCTGGATGATTACAATGAGAGAGAATACATTAAACGCGTGTTATAGAAATACGCCCTCTGGTAGCAACATGTATTTATATTTTTTATTAACTGTTACACTTTATGGCAATCCTGTGTGTGTGAACATACAGAGGTTCAAATTAGGTAGATATGGAGAAACTAAAGGTATTGGTTTAAGAAATTTCCCCTGCCTATAGTCTTGCTAAACTAACATGAGGTATAACGTCATATCTATCTATACTGCCGCTGGTTTTTGTACGTGCAGTAAATTAACTTGTAGATACCTCTCGCATGAGTACATACGTTGCAGGACGTGTCGTGAGAGAACTAAATTCTTCCGCCCACTTCGAGATATTGTGGTGTGTGGAATATCTACAGTATTATGTCACGCAGAGAGAGGAGTGCTACTGTGTTGCTTTAAAATAAAAAACGTTCAACATTCACTTGCTAATTATGACATTCAGTCTTTTAGGTATGCATATATGAAAGAATGCAAGTATGAAACTCTTTAGATTGTATGCAATGATAGAAGTTGCAATTTGAAGCCTCTCGTGGGTTAGTGGTAAGCTTGAAAGTTTATAACACTAAAATTCGGGGTTCGATTTATGCAAAGCTCTGAGTTTAAACAAACATATAATACGTAATTGAGATTCAGAAAGTTATTATGTCTTTTTCTTTAAGCTCTGAGAGTACGAAATTGTAACAAGGCACATTTTTTGTACAATATCTTAATGTTTGTGTTTCCCCCAGTGGTACAACGATAAATCTGTGGACTTATAACGTATACTCCGAGGTGCGATTTTCCGCACTGGACACAGCAGAAAGAACAATGTGACTTTGCTTTAAAACAAACATTCAGTTTGTTTCTTTAGAG